TATCTGTGTTTCATTTGTTCCACCGGATTGTAAACTCCCTGAGGGCAGGGGCTGGTTTTTAACCAAAATTTTATATTTCCTGCAGGGCTCAACAAAAAGTCTTGCAATTATGCACAGTAGGTACCTAGTAAAGGTTTCTTGAATGAATGTCTGTTGAATGGATGGCTGGCCTTACTTGTAAAGAACTTTCTGTGTAAAGGTGTAGGCAGGGAAAATGCTTAAAGAACCAAGACCTTCTGGAGAGGACAAACGGGAAAGGGAGAGAAGTGCTAAGCGGAGGCCAGGCTGAGTCGGGGGAGGGAAGGGAGCAGTTCTGGAGGGTGGCATCGTCTCATTGGACCTTGAAGGAAGGAAGGGAGTAACATATGGCCATTGTGGGAATGAAAAGTGGGTGGGGGGAGGGAACCTAAATCTGGCTCCATGTCGGTGCTTGATTAATTCTTTGGTTTGCAAGTCACTTTCTCTCTTGTGGCCTCAGTTTCCTCTTTTGTAAAATAAAGGGTTTGGACTAGAGGATCTCCATGTCTCTTCCACCCCTAACTTTCCATGAGCCAATGATCTTACGGACATCACAGGGCTTTTAAAATGTTGAGTTATGATTATAAGTGAGCACGCCATTTAAAAAGAGACTTGAGGCAGAACGGCTCTGGCTTCTGAATCAATTTTAGACTTTCTGTTTCCAAGTAATAATTGGCGTATTCATTATAGTCTACATGGTGTCCCAAAAAGTCTTGGTGTAACCTTAAGCTAGGATTTGGAAAGTGCTTGCCTCGTGGTAACTCGGTAATTCAAGCACTGTTTTCCCATTCTATAGATGAGGAAGCTGAGACTTAGTTCAGGGTGTCACATGATCTCATGGCTAGTTAAGAGCTGGAGCTCAAACTCCATCCCTGTCCTCCTGCCTCTGAGTCCAGCGCTCTTAATGCCACACCTGGCTGCATCTCCCTAGTCTGAGGCCTAAGGGGAAGGATTGGAGACTGAACATTTTGTCTACACTGTCCTGACGGCAGTCAAGCTGTTCATCTCGGCACGTTGAGGTGCCACTCATGAAGGAGAGCTGCATTTTGTTTCCAAGTCCTCTCTTTTATTTGCTGGGGACACTTTGGTGAGCTTGCACCAGTGCTGATCTTGGAATTAGCGAGGTCTAGGCTCAGATCCTACCTATGACACATTTATCTGTTATGTTACCAGAAGCAAGCTAACCTCTCTGTGCCTCAGTTTCCTAATATGTAAAATGGAGATAATACTTGTTGTTCTCACCTCCCAGGGCTGCTGTGAAGTTGAAAGGAGAGAATGTCTATAAAGCACCTTCCATACTTGAGAGTGTTATGCAAGTGCTGGTTATTATCATAATGATAACCTTATTATTAATTTGTTCTCATCTAGTTTAGTAGAGCTCAGATAGAAATGAGGGATAAGCTACTGTCCTGTTACCCTTCAGTTCAGTGTTTTGCAGGTTATTGAACTTTCTTCTTCTTATTTGCTTGTGACCCAGAAATGTTTGACCTAGAGGGCAGTCAGCTCAGCTTGATCAGAATTCGGACACCTCCATCCGGGGCTTTAGAAGCCTGCTAGGGTTCTAGCTCCCCTGTGGGAGAGTGACCCCTTGGCTGTTCTTAGGTTTGGCGGTGATGGAGAATGGAGCCTGTCTTGGAGCTGTTCAAGTTACCCAGGGACTGAGGTGTGCTGGGATTGGAAGCTTGGGCACCTTGCTCTATGTCTTGGGCCATTATTGAGTGACCTGCTGGGCGCACATTCATTAGAATTCTAAATGGCTCATAGGGAAGGAAAGAAAACAGGGAACAAGCATGTATTAAGGGCTGCTGTGTGCCAGGCTCTGTACTAAGTGCTGGGGATACAAACAGGAATAAAAGACAGCCCCTGCCCTCAAGTAGCTTACATTTTAATGGGGAAGACAACCTACAGAAAGGGAGCTAAAGAGCTGGGGGAGACTACTTTCTTTGGTGAATGAGTCTTTTCTAATAATTATAAATGGAAATTAAAAATGGGGATAGGGATCAAGCTTGTGACTTCAGTGGGACAGGGTACATCAAAGAAGAAAACTCTCCTTACCAATGCAGGTTAGTAACTCTTCTGTATCATCTAGTTTTAGAGAGTTGCCTCCATCACTGAAAGATTAAGTGATATGTCCAGAGTTACACACACAGTGTGTGACCGTGGCAGAACTAACTGAAATTTAGGTGGACAGGTAAAGCTCCTTCTGGAGAGGTATCTTAGGCTTAAGTCTTGGAAGCACCTGGATTCTACGGTTCCATGTGTTGAGGAGACCTCTAGGGTCACCAAATCCAACCCTCTCATTTTACAGATGAAGAGACTGAGGGCATTAATCATCAGAGATAGAGTGAAGTCTAGCTTCTTGGAGGCCCAGACGGGAAAGTCACACAGGTCCCAACTCCCAGAGCCAGAGTTCAGATCTTGTGTTTCCGACTTCCCCAATGGGCATGTAAGGGACGCCTTTGAGACCTTGCCTAGCTCGTTTGGAGAATGAGGAGTGCCAGCTTCACACTTGAGCGATGTTCCTGTCATTCACTTCTCTGGGCCTCAGTTTCCTCATCTGTAAAATGAATGGGTTGGACTAGATGCCCTCTGAGGGCCCTTCCAGTTTCATATCTAGATTTTTTTCATTTTCTGTTCCCCTGAGGTGTGAATCCCCTTCCTGAGTGACACAGGCATATATTTGTATATAAATTCTTAAGTTAGACTTGTTTTCCCACCTGGCATGGGGGAACATACTGCTGTGTGTTTCAGACTTTGTGTGTGTGTGTGTGTGTGTGTGTGTATGTGTGTGTGTATAGATGGATGGATGGATGGAAGGATAGGGTCTGGCTTCTCTGTATGGCTAGTATGGGAAGCCAGTCTTGCCCACATGCATCTCACTTTCTCTTTTTCCTTTTCTCCTTGCCTATACCTGCTCCTCTCTTTTCAGTTTTCAGAGAATCCCCACTGGGGCTTGCCTCAGGCCGGGCCATAGGAGGTAGGTAATCTAGCTCTTCTGCTCTGGCCAAGCTGATGTCCTCACTTCTTAACCACTTTATTTCTACCCTCTTCTTCTGATCCTGGTAGGTTTACCCCCATCCCAACGGCTCCCTTGTGTCCGATTGATACACTAGAGAAAAGTCAATTAAGACTTTCATTCCCAGTCAGTAGAGGCCAAAGTTCTGGGTTCTGTCCAAATATACCACCATTTAGATCTGTCAATTTGTAGTATTTGAAGGAACTTAGAGGTCGAGGACTTCTTGCCTGACCTCATTTGACAGCTGAGGAAACTAAAATTGAGGTTAGTCATTGGTACTGATTAGTGAGAGAAAGAGCCATTTCAGTTCAATATCAGAATCTTAGTGTTGGAAAGAATCTGAGGATCATTAATTGAGAAGCTGGAAGATGGCTCTGAGGCCATCTGGTTCAATCCTCCCATTTTACTGACAAAGACGTTGAGGCCAAGAACTTGCCCATGGTCAGGCAGGTGATGGAGGCAGGCCTTCAGAGACCATCTGTGTTAGCTCCGCCCTGCCCAGGCTTCCTCCTGCAACACAGCTAACAAGTGGCTGTCCATAAATTGGTTTTTACTGAATCTTTTGTTTTTACATCACCTACATTTCCCATTGTGTCTTCCATTGACCCCTTTCCTGAGAGCCATCCCTTCGTTATGAAAGAATAAACAAAGAGGGAAAAAGTTTAGCAAAATGAATGCACATCTAGAAAAATGTTGACATTACATGAAGTTACATGACATTGCATGCCCATTGTCTCTCACCTTTGTTAAGAAGTGGGAGAAGGCACCTTCTTAAAGCTCTTCTTTGGCCATGATAATTGGGCTGTATTCACTTTTAAGCATTCCATTAGTCAGTCAGTAAGCATTTAGTAAGTAATTACTAAAGTCAGGCATCATGGCAAGTCTTGGGGATGCAAATACAAGCAAAAATATAGTCCCTGCCCTCAAGGAGTTTACACTATAATGGGGGAGAGAGAGAAGACAATAACACCCAAAAGGGAGTTGATGAGAGTGAGGCCAGGGAGACAGAAGCAGAGCTAGGAGAGGAGAGGAATGACGGGTGACCAGCAAGGGCTCTTTCCTCCACAGGGAGGTTTGGGGGGAGCTCACTAATGGGAGAAGGGATGTTCTGGAGCGAAAAGGCAAGGGAGGGGGGCAAAAAGGGAAAGGGAGCAGGGAAGGGGAGGGAAGAGAAGTGGAAGTTCCAGGGTAAGGAGGCAGTGAGGAGTTGGGGTGAATTCTGGGAAGTCCTAAGCAGAGCCTGCTCTGGCTCCGACTGAGGGCTTAGGTCCAGATTGTTAGGAGCTGCAGCTGTTGGAGGAGAGTGTGGTGTCCTTGGCACAGGTCCAGAGCTCGTGCTGGCTAATAAGAGTGTTTTATTGTTGTTCATCATTATCTGCTTTAATAGTTATCGTTGATTGTTTTGATATTTATACTTGTTTTTGAGGTCAGTCTCATCCCTGTATATGAACAGATTTGTGAGACCCTCGGTAAAGACAGAAACAAAATACTGTAAGACGGACCACAAATGGAACTCGGTGAATTGTAATGAATAATAGTAATAATAGTAATAAATACATTTATGTAACATTCTGGCGTTTGTAAAGCGCTTTGCATATTTGCAAACCTTATTTGATTCTCACAACAATCCTGTGAGGTAGGGGCCATTAGCGTTCTGTTACAGATGAAGAAATTGAGGCTCAGAGTGGTTAATATCTCCCAGAGTCACACAGTTCAGTGTGAGAGGCAGGATTTGAACTTAGGTCTCCTTGGCTCCGTGTCCAGCATTGTCTCCATTACATCCCTTAGCTGCCTTATGTAGGGGATCAACGTTAATAGGTCGATTTAAAAAAAGATGGGAGCCAAGATGGCAGAGTAAGAAGTAAATTGCTCTCACCCTCCCTTACTGACCTCTGAAAGCCCAGAAAATATCACCCTAGGAAAAAAAGAAATTATTTAAAATGTACTTATTCCTTTGTGTTTACAGCTGCTGCTGAAGGAAAAGGCAAGAGTGGAGAAGACTTTTTCCAGAAGGTAAGACAATGTTTCCTCGTCATTTTGGCAGAGGGGAGCTACAATGCAGCCGGTCACTTTTTCGCGGAAGAGATGTTCAGAACGAACCTCTTTGAAATGAATTTCTGTATTTCTGATCCTTACCCTGTGTTCAGAATTGACTTCTGTTATAATGTAAGAAGGATGTTCTGAGACGAGCCAGCTAGGGCAGAGGCAACAGTGACTAGGTGATCAAGGTCATAGAGCGAGAGAGAGCCCCTAGCCTAGCTCAGCTCTGGACTGCCCTGGTGTGTTGGATCGGTCCCTGAAGTGAGCCCACTCTTTGCCCCTGTTGGCTGGAGGGAAGGGAGCAGAGATAGTGTGGGTGAATCCTCTCTCTGCCCCTACCACTTGGGCCGTAGGGAGAGAGGCACTGGGCCAGGGGTGGGGAACCTGCAGTCACTTGAGGTCCTAGAAGGCTACATGTGGCTTCGAGGCCACAAGTTCCCCACCCCTGCACTAGGCCATTGAGGGAACGTCCACCGACATGACAGATTCAACCATCAAACTCAAAATTCTTTAGTTGAGTCTTTTTTTTTTTTTTTTAACATTTTTATTTAGAGTTTTGAGTTCCACATTCTCTCCTTCCCTTTCTCCCTTCCCTCCCCCCTCCCTGAGATGGTAAGCAGATATAGGTTATACATGTGCCCTTGTGTAGAACATTTCCACGTTAGTCATTTTGTGCAAGACTCTGATAAAAGGAAAAAATGAAAGAAAAAAAGGGAAAATTTTAGCCGAGTCTTGAGGACATTTTGCCTTATTCCTTCCCTACTGACTTAATTACTACTTAACTCATCTTTTAGGGCCAAAAATAACACTTGGTGGTGGTTCCTATTAATCAGTTGTTGCAAGACAATTTTGGGTGATGGAGTTTCTCAGTTACACATGTAAATTAGGAATGTGAAGTGCCCTTCCTGAAGCCCTAGTGTTGGGGTAGATGCATAGATGCTTTTGCCTCTTTTGTTGCTGTTGGGGGAAAAATCACTTTCAAATGAGGGGGCAGGACTTGGGCACCTTTAAGGTTAAATCTGTGAGGCCATATGACTCTGGGCAAGTCACTTCACTTTTTCTAGGACTTAGTTTCTGCCTTTATAAAATGAGAGGGTTGGTCTAGATCAGAGGTGAGGCTTGAACCAGATTGAAATGTATTTGGGAAATGTTTAACAAAATAAATCAAAGTACCTTTTGTTGTTCAGTTAATTCAGTCATGTCTGACTCTTTGTGACCCCATTTGGGATTTTCTTGGCAAAGATACTGGAGTGGTTTGCCATTTCCTTCTGCAGCTCATTTTATAGATGAGGAAACTGAGGCAAGCAGGATTAAGTGACTTGCCCAGGGTCACACAGCTAATAAGTGTCTGAGGCCAGATTTGAACTCAGGAAGATGAGTCTTCCTGACTCTGTGCCCGTGTTCTATGCAGTATGGTGCCACCTACTTGCCCTGAAAAATACATTACCACATAGATGATGTTAATTTGTGGTTTCCTAAGTCAATATGAGGCCTTCAGGGATCCATTTCTGTTCTAGATGACCCCGAGTCCATTATCTCGTAATTCTAGGGCGGTCTTTCTCCTCCATTTCTTCATAGCCTGTACACAATTTTTTTTTCTTATTAGACATTTCATATTAAGGCTGAATTTAGGAGCTGGGGTCAATATTAGCAACTTGCAGTCAAAGGGTGCTTCACTTTGATCCTTTTGTTCACAGCCAAACCTGCTTTTACCAGTTCATTTGGTAAATTTACAAACAGCCTTCCACTTCCCACATGAAATTGAAAAGAGTGTCACTTCATTTGGACGGCAGGATATTACCCAGCCTAGAATTACGACGTTAACCTGCTTTTTAAGAACTAGTCCAGTGTAAAATATTAATTAAAAAAAGGTAAAGAGTCCTCAGCTTTATAGAACAGACTGATTGCTGGTATCCCTGCACTCCCCTCAGAAACGGCTTTGGATCTAGTATATTTTTATCCATTGTGCTTACTTCCCCTTACCCCAATGGAATGTAATCTCCTTGAGAGGCAAAGACTGTCGAATTTTGTCTTTCTGTCCCCAGTGCTCACCTTTGCATCTGGTACATAGTAGGCACTTAATAAATGATTGCTGGATATATTGGAGATTGAACCAGTCCCGTTTTATGGGAAAGGCCAAAGGAAACATGTATCTTTGCCTTTACTTGGTTCATCCATGGCCATGAAAGGTTGCAGTGTGAACTGGTGGGGTAGCAGATATGGCTAGGAAGAACCAGCTGCATGGTGATGTCCCAGGAACTCATCTATGGCAAAAGGGAGAACTGGAACGTATGCCTCACGAGGTTGAGGGGAGGTGGTCAGAGGCTTGGTCTCAGAGAGTGATGGATGTAGAATGTAAGAGATATCTTCTCTGTGCTGAAAGGTTCATAGATTGTTGGAATTAGAGGGGACCCTAAAGGCCCTCTAGTCTAAACCTGTTATTTTAGAGATTTCATTTAACAAACACTTAATCAATCATTGGGCATTTATTAAGTGCCGATGATATACTAGGTACTGTGCCAGGAATACAAAGAAAAAAGGAAATATCATCCCTGCCCTCATGGAGCTTGCATTCTATAGGGGAAAACAACATGTGCACATATAAGAAAATATGAAATATATATGAAATCAACACAAGGTCATTAAATGCCTACTGTGGACACGGCACAGGGCTGTGTGTTGAAGATACAATGGCAAATGGGGAAATTGAAGAGGAAGATGACTCTCCTAATTAGTGCAACTAATTAGTGGTGGCATCTAAGACTGGAAGCCAGGGTTCCGAACTGCCAGTTTGGGTCTTTTTTGTACTGTTTCTAATTAAAATTAGTTCCTGTAAATTGGGGTTCTCCTAGGAGATGGAATATTTCTTCCTCCTTAAATTTTGATTTGTTTCCCAGGAGCCCCTGGAGGTTATGGAATTTTTATTACGAATTCCAGATATTCCAGTAACTAATCTTCCTTCTGGAAAATATTTGCCACAACTCTTTCTTAGCTGAACGAGAGAAGAGGGTCCTAGCTTCATTTTCTGATCAGTTTCATCTTTTTAAGTTTTCTTAAAAAATCCCTTATCGTCAGTGGGGTGTTACTGAGAACACGGAGGCAGAGGAGTGGTCTGAATAAGGTGCAGAGAAAATGGATAAGAGAAAAGTGAAGGGCATTTGACTAATTATGGGACAATTCTGGTGTTTTAGGCAAAGGAGAATTTTATATACATCTTTTTGGAAATTGACAAACTTTGGTGTTTCTTCTCATTAGTCCTAGAGCCCATTTCATTTCTGTTTGTTGGCTCAGATCCTGGTGCAGGAGACTGAGAGGAGGGGAAGGGAAGGAGAAGAGGGAAAAATCAGAGATATTATCGGATAGGCCAACAAGGGCAAAAACCCATCCAGGGAACCAACTGGCATTCACTATGGATTAGATAAAAATAGTGGAAAAATATTAGAAGATCCCAAAGTCATGTTGTCTGCTATGTGTTTTAGAGGGCTCTTACATCCTTGGATGTTGTAGGCAAAGAAGTACGGCATATTCTAAGTCATTCAGAAATGATTTTTCCAGACCTTTGGTGTCCCTGTTTCCTGCTTGCATTTTGTCCTTTTCATTGCTCATCAGCATTACCTTCTGAGGGCAGAAGGGATGGTGTGGGTGGTCCACATAGTGTGTTTCCTATGCATTCATGTAATTGAACTCCTTGGATGCTTTGATGGAGAGGAGAGTGCGTTCAGCCTGCCTCTGGGAGCTTTGGACTCCATAGTTGATGCTGATTTTCGTTGTGTTGCTAAGTTTTTAAAATAGTTTACATAGGATGAGTCAGAAATCCATGGGCTGAAATGTCAAACATTTCAGTGGAGGTACACAGGGATTTTTAGCTCATGCTGGACACGTTGCCTGTATTATGGCTTGAGGCTGAGCCTTGACTTTAGCTGAAATCACCCATTGACTGATGTCCAACATATATTTGGGAAGTCGTCAGATCTCTACTGAGGTGGATAGTAGTGTTGACCATAGTCATACTGCCTTGGAGAATTATAGAAGGAAAGCTGTGCTTGGAGTCAGGAGAGAGAGATAGAGATAGATAGAGAGAGAGAGAGAGAGAGAGAGAGAGGGAGACAGTCAGATAGACATAGATAGATAAATACAGATACACACACACACACAGACACAGAAAGACAGACAGACCAACTTGGGTATGTAGCCTGCTGACTGTGGGACCAACAGCAAGTCAAGAGATATCTCTAAGCCTCAGCATCCTCACATGTAGTATGGGGATGGCAATTCCTCCGGCGCCCACAATTCTGGGTTATTATGAGATTCCGGTGAAATACAAACAGTATTTCTCAAATGCTAAATCGTTATATTTATGTCAAACATAATAATGATAATTATCGTCCTCTTTAACAGTAGTAATATAATTATGTCAGCATGAAGAATGTTAACATGATCTGACTATTATTCCTGGTAGGCATTTCCATGTATTATTTTAATCCTTAGCTGCTTATTTTGGTTAAGGTAGTGATCCTGGGTATTGTCATCCTATAAGTTAGTCCAGAAGGATTAAATTTATTTGTTTTAGATACATACATTGAAGTGTCAAAATAAATTTTAGAGACAGCTAAAGTTATACCCTGTTAAAAGCTGCCATGTGTAATAATTGGTCATGTATGTATTGGCTCCAATGCTTCTAGGATATAAATATCCATGTATAACATGTGCACGGATTATGTGTGAACACTTTTTTTGGGGTAAGTGGGGAATTTTCAATCAGTGATTTTCCTGATACGAGCAATTCCCAGTTCAGAAGCGTTTTTCACCAATGTAGATTGGCAGCTCCTGTAATTTATAGTGTTAGGAGAGTTGCCTGGGGCAGTGATAGGTTAAGTGATTGACTCCTGGCGTCACAGCAGCCGTGAATGTTAGAGGCAAGGCAATTTGGGTAATGCCTCCAAGATTTCCCTCCTATATGCTAGGCCATGCTG